GGTCTGGGGGACATTGGCGACATCAGGGGGACATTGGGGGACAGGGGAGGGGACAGAGAAAGGAGGGGACATTGGGGACACTGGGGGGACATTGGAGACATCGGGGGGACATTGGGGGGACATGGGGACATCCGGGGGACATTGGGGGGACATTGGTGACACTGGGGACACAGGGGAGGGGACTTGGGGGTACATGGGGGGACACTGGGACATGGGAGGGACATGGGAGGGACATTGGGGGGTCAGGGGGACATTGGGGACATTGAGGGGACACAGAGGGGACGTGGCGTGTCCCCAGTGCCACCCCGTGAGGTGACACCTGAGGTGACACCCCCTGTGTGTCCCCAGGGCCACCCCCCCGGTTCCGGTGTCCCCCCGAGTTCGAGGCCGTGTCCGGGGGGGTCCCCATGGGGGGGCCCCAAACGGAGCTGTGGCTGATCCGGGCCCCGATGGACTTCTGTCCCCAAAGGTGACAATGGCACTGGGGGGGACACGGGGGGTGACAGTGACACTGGGACATTGGGGGTGACAGTGACACTGGGGGGGTGACAGTGACACTGGGATGGGGGTGACAGTGACACTGGGGGGGTGACAGTGACACTGGGATGGGGGTGACAGTGACACTGGGACAATGGGGGGGTGACAGTGACACTGGGATGGGGGTGACAGTGACACTGGGGGGGTGACAGTGACACTGGGATGGGGGTGACAGTGACACTGGGACAATGGGGGGGTGACAGTGACACTGGGGGTGACAGTGACACTGGGACAATGGGGGGGTGACAGTGACACTGGGGGTCCCCAAAGGGAGCTGTGGCTGATCCGGGCACCGATGGACTTCTGTCCCCAAAGGTGACAATGGCACTGGGACAATGGGACAATGGGGGGTGACAGTGACACTGGGGGTCCCCAAAGGGAGCTGTGGCTGATCCGGGGGGCCCCGATGGACTTCTGTCCCCAAAGGTGACAATGGCACTGGGGGGGACACGGGAGGTGACAGTGACACTGGGATGGGGGTGACAGTGACACTGGGGGGGACACAGGGACATTGGGGGTGACAGTGACACTGGGACACTGGGGGGTGACAGTGACACTGGGGGGTGACAGTGACACTGGGATGGGGGTGACAGTGACACTGGGGGGGACACGGGGACATTGGGGGGGTGACAGTGACACTGGGGGTCCCCAAAGGGAGCTGTGGCTGATCCGGGCCCCGATGGACTTCTGTCCCCAAAGGTGACAATGGCACTGCGACACTGGGACACTGGGGGGGTGACAGTGACACTGGGGGTGACAGTGACACTGGGACAATGGGGGGGTGACAGTGACACTGGGATGGGGGTGACAGTGACACTGGGGGGACACGGGGACACTGAGGGGTGACAGTGACACTGCGATAGGGGTGGCAGTGTCATTGGGATGGGGGTGACAGTGACACTGGGGAGTGACAGTGACAAATGGGGGGGGGTCCCAGTGTCACTGGCCAGTGACAATGACAATGTGGGGGTGACAATGCCAGTGGGGGTGTCCCTTTGTCCCTGTCACCAATGTCACCCTGTCCCTCTGTCCCTGTCACCAATGCCAATGGGGGGGTGACAATGCCACTGGGGGGTGTCCCTTTGTCACTGTCACCAGTGTCCCCCTGTCCCTTTGTCCCTGTCACCAATGTCCCCAATGTCCTTTTGTCCCTGTCACCAATGTCCCCCTGTCCCTTTGTCCCTGTCACCAGTGTCCCCAATGTCCCTTTGTCCCTGTCACCAATGTCCCCCTGTCCCTTTTGTCCCTGTCACCAATGTCACCCTGTCCCTTTGTCGCTGTCACCAATGCCAATGTGAGAGTGACAATGCCACTGGGGGTGTCCCTTTGTCCCTGTCACCAATGTCCCCCTGTCCCTTTTGTCCCTGTCACCAGTGTCCCCAATGTCCTTTTGTCCCTGTCACCAATGTCCCCCTGTCCCTTTTGTCCCTGTCACCAGTGTCCCCCTGTCCCTTTGTCCCTGTCACCAATGTCCCCAATGTCCCCAATGTCCCTTTGTCCCTGTCACCAATGTCACCAATGTCCCCAATGTCCCTTTGTCCCTGTCACCAGTGTCCCCCTGTCCCTTTGTCAGTCACCAATGTCCCCCTGTCCCTTTGTCACTGTCACCAATGTCCCCAATGTCCTTTTGTCCCTGTCACCAATGTCCCCAATGTCCCTTTGTCCCTGTCACCAGTGTCCCCAATGTCCCTTTGTTACTGTCACCAATGTCCCCAATGTCCTTTTGTCCCTGTCACCAATGTCCCCCTGTCCCTTTGTCCCTGTCACCAATGTCCCCAATGTCCTTTTGTCCCTGTCACCAATGTCCCCCTGTCCCTTTGTCCCTGTCACCAATGTCCCCAATGTCCCTTTGTCCCTGTCACCAGTGTCCCCCTGTCCCTTTTGTCCCTGTCACCAGTGTCCCCCTGTCCCTTTGTCACTGTCACCAATGTCCCCAATGTCCCTTTGTCCCTGTCACCAATGTCCCCAATGTCCTTTTGTCCCTGTCACCAATGTCCCCAATGTCCCTTTGTCCCTGTCACCAATGTCACCCTGTCCCTTTGTCGCTGTCACCAGTGTCCCCAATGTCCCTTTGTCCCTGTCACCAGTGTCCCCCTGTCCCTTTGTCCCTGTCACCAATGTCCCCAATGTCCCTTTGTCCCTGTCACCAGTGTCCCCCTGTCCCTCTGTCCCTGTCACCAATGTCCCCAATGTCCCTTTGTCCCTGTCACCAGTGTCCCCCTGTCCCTCTGTCCCTGTCACCAATGCCAATGGGGGGGTGACAATGCCACTGGGGGTGTCCCTTTGTCCCTGTCACCAATGTCACCCTGTCCCTTTTGTCCCTGTCACCAGTGTCCCCCTGTCCCTTTGTCCCTGTCACCAATGTCCCCAATGTCCTTTTGTCACTGTCACCAATGTCCCCAATGTCCCTTTTGTCCCTGTCACCAGTGTCCCCCTGTCCCTTTTGTCCCTGTCACCAATGTCCCCAATGTCCCTTTGTCCCTGTCACCAGTGTCCCCAATGTCCCTTTGTCCCTGTCACCAATGTCCCCAATGTCCTTTTGTCACTGTCACCAATGTCCCCAATGTCCCTTTGTCCCTGTCACCAATGTCCCCAGTGTCCCCAATGTCCCTTTGTCCCTGTCACCAATGTCACCAATGTCCCCCTGTCCCTTTGTCCCTGTCACCAATGTCCCCCTGTCCCTTTTGTCCCTGTCACCAGTGTCCCCCTGTCCCTTTGTCCCTGTCACCAGTGTCCCCAATGTCCCTTTGTCCCCCCCAGCCTCGAGGGCCGCCCGGTGCCCCTGAACGGCCTCGAGCGGCTCCGCCCGGGTGACAACGACAACAACGACAACAACGACAACAGTGACAGTGCCACCCCCGGTGCCACCTACGTGCTGCGGGGCGGCCCGGCCGCGGCAGGGTGGCACTGTCCCCTGCTGCTGTCCCCAGTGTCCCCAGGGGGGTCCCTGGGCTGCGCCCCCCCCATGAAGGGGACCCTGAGCATCACCCGCAGCTTCGGGACACCGAGGGTGGCACCTGGGGACACCGCGGGGACAGCGCCACCCTCGGGGGGGACAGCGCCACCCTTGGGGACAGCGACACCCTCAGAGGGGACAGCGCCACCCTCGGGGACAGTGACACCCTTGGGGACAGCGCCACCCTCGGGGGGGACAGCGACACCCTCGGGGACAGTGACACCCTTGGGGACAGCGCCACCCTTGGGGACAGAGACAGAGGGGCCGGGACCCCCCGAGGTGACCAAGAGGAGGAAGAAGAGGAAGAAGGAGAAGAGGGAAGGGCAGGAGTGACCCCGGGGTGGCACCCGCGGTGTCACCTTTGTCACCTGAGGTGTCACCTTTGTCACCGTTAAATAAATAAATGTCCCTTTATTACCAAAAAAATGGGAATTTTGGGGGGGATTTTTTCGGGGGGGATTTTTTTGAGTATTTTGGGGTCTGGGGATTTTTTGGGGGGGGTTTTGTGAGTTTTTGGGATTTTTAAGGAATTTTTAAGGAATTTTTGGGGGGGGGGTTTGGGGGAATTTTGGGATTTTTTGTGGGATTTTAAGGGATTTTGGGGGATTTTTGGAAGACTTTCTGAGATTTACTGGGGATTTTTTGAAGATTTTGGGAATTTTGAGGATTGGGGGCAATTTTTTGAGGATTTGGGGGGGATTTTGGGGTTTTTGTGGGGATTTTTGGCTGTTTTGGGGGAATTCTTTTTTGATTTTTGGGGTCTTGGGGGGATTTTTTTGTTTTTTGCGGGGGGGGGGATTTGGGAGGATTTTGGGGGAATTTTTGGGGAGATTTTGGGGGAAAATTTTGGGAATTTTGTGGGATTTTTGGGGATTTTTTGGGGGCTTTTCAGGTGATTTTTGGGAGGGGTTTTTGTGGGATTTTTGGTTTTTGTGGGATTTTTGGGGTGATTTCTGAGGGTTTTGGGGCTCATCGCGGCGCCTTGACGAACGGCTCGTGCAGGACATCGAACAAACGCTTGGCCTGGTTGGGGACACGGGGACAGGATCACAACCGGTGTCACCAGTGTCCCCAAATGTCCCCAATGTCCCCAAATGTCCCCATGGTGTCCCCCAATGTCCCCAATGTCCCAAATGTCCAAATCCCCCCAAATGTCCCCAATGCCCCAATGTCCCCAAAGTCCTCAGTGTCCCAATGTCCCAAATGTCCCCAATGTCCCCAATGTCCCAAATGTCCCCAATGCCCCCAATGTCCCCAAAGTCCTCAGTGTCCCAATGTCCCAAATGTCCCCAATGTCCCCAAATGTCCCCAATGTCCCCAATGTCCCAAATGTCCCCAATGTCCCCAAATGTCCCCAATGTCCTCAGTGTCCCCAATGTCCCAAATGTCCCCAATGTCCTCAGTGTCCCCAATGTCCCCAATGTCCCCAATGCCCCCAATGTCCCAAATGTCCAAATCCCCCCAAATGTCCCCAATGCCCCCAATGTCGCCATGGTGTCCCCAAATGTCCTGAATGTCCCCAATGTCCCCAGCGTCTCAGTGTTCCCAAATGTCCCCAATGTCCCAAAGTCTCCAATGTCCCCAAACTTGTCCCTTTCTGTCCCTCACCTTCTGGGGTCCCATGCCAGGACAGAGGGACAGGAGGACACCCAGTGTCCCCAATGTCCCCATTGTCCCAAATGTCCCCAGTCCCTCCAGCATTCCCAAATGTCCCCAATGTCCCCAAATGTCCCCATTGTCCCCAATGTCTCCAAATGTCCCCAATCCCCCCAATGTCCCAAACATCCCCAAATGTCCCCAATGCCTTCAATGTCCCCAATGTCCCAACATCCCCAGTGTCCCCAATGCCCCCAATGTCCCCATTGTCCCAAATGTCCCCAACCCCCCCAATGTCCCCAAATGTCCCCAGTGTCCCCAGTGTCCCCAGTGTCTCCAACCCCGGGCAATGTCCCCAATGTCCCCAATGTCCCCAACCCCCCCCAATGTCCCCGATGTCCCCATTCTGTCCCTCACCTTCTGTGGCCCCACGCCAGGACACAGGGACAGATCCTCCCGCGACGCCCCCGCCACGGCCGCCAGCGACTGCGGGAGGGGACACCGGGGACAGTGAGGTGACAAACATGAGGGGACACCGGGGGGACAGTGAGGGACAAACCCACAGGGGACACCGAGGGACAGTGAGGTGACAAACATGAGGGGACACAAGGGGACAGTGAGGTGACAAACCCACAGGGGACACCGAGGGGACACCACAGTGACAAACCCACAGGGGACACCGAGGGGACAGTGAGGTGACAACATGAGGGGACACAAGGGGACAGTGAGGTGACAAACCCACAGGGGACACCGAGGGGACACCACAGTGACAAACCCACAGGGGACACCGAGGGGACAGTGAGGTGACAAACATGAGGGGACACCAAGGGGACAGTGAGGTGACAAACCCACAGGGGACACCGAGGGGACACCACAGTGACAAACCCGAGGGGACACCGAGGGGACAGTGAGGTGACAAACCCGAGGGGACACCGAGGGGACAGTGAGGTGACAAACATGAGGGGACCCCGGGGGGACAGTGAGGTGACAAACCCGTGGGGACACCGAGGGGACAGTGAGGTGACAAACCCGAGGGGACACCGGGGGACAGTGAGGTGACAAACCCGAGGGGACACCGGGGGACAGTGAGGTGACAAACCCGTGGGGACACCGAGGGGACAGTGAGGTGACAAACATGCGGGGACACCGGGGGACAGTGAGGTGACAAACCCGTGGGGACACCGAGGGACAGTGAGGTGACAAACATGCAGGGACACCGGGGGGACAGTGAGGTGACAAACCCGTGGGGACACCGAGGGGACAGTGAGGTGACAAACATGCGGGGACACCGGGGGGACAGTGAGGTGACAAACCCGAGGGGACACCGGGGTGACAGTGAGGTGACAAACCCACAGGGGACACCGAGGGGACAGTGAGGTGACAAACCCGAGGGGACACTGAGGGGACAGTGAGGTGACAAACCCGAGGGGACACCGAGGGGACAGTGAGGTGACAAACCCGTGGGGACACGAGGGGACAGTGAGGTGACAAACATGCGGGGACACCGAGGGGACACCACAGTGACAAACCCACAGGGGACACCGGGGGGACAGTGAGGTGACAAACCCGTGGGGACACCGAGGGGACAGTGAGGTGACAAACATGCGGGGACACCGAGGGGACACCACAGTGACAAACCCACAGGGGACACCGGGGGACAGTGAGGTGACAAACCCGAGGGGACACCGGGGGGACAGTGAGGTGACAAACCCGAGGGGACACCGCGGCAGTGCCACACCCCCCGATGTCCCCCGGTGTCCCCAAGTGCCACCGCTCACCCCGAAGGTCCCCAGCAGGCTCAGCGCGTCCGTCCTGTTGACGGATTTGACGCTGGTCAGGCAGTCGGTCACCTGCGGGGGGGTGGCACCGTCAGGGGACATCCGGGGACATCCGGGGGACATTTGGGGACAGCTGGGCACACCTGGGGACACTTGGGGATGCTCTGGGGGACATCTGGGGACACCTGAGGGCATTTGGGCACACCTGGGGACACTTGTGGACACTGAGGGGACACCTGGGGACACACCTAGGGACATCTGGGGACACTTGGGGACACATGGGGACGCATGGGGACACCTGGAGACACTGAGGGGACACTTGGGGACATTTGGGGACACTGAGGGGACACTTGGGGACATTTGGGGACACTGAGGACACACCCGGGGACACCTGGAGATATCCTGGGGACAGCTGGGGACACTGAGGACACACTTGGTGACATTTGGGGACATTTGGGGACACTGAGAGCACACCTGGGGACACCTGGAGATATCCTGGGGACAGCTGGGGACACTTTTGGGCACATTTGGGGACACCTGGGGACACCTGGCACACCTGGGAACACCTGAGGACACATTTTGGGGACATTTGGGGACACTGAGGGACATCCTGGGCGCACCTGGGGACCCTGAGGACACGCTTGGGGACATTTGGGGACACTGGGGACACTTGGGGACATCCTGGGCACACCTGGGGACCCTGAGGACACGCTTGGGGACATTTGGGGACACCTGGTGACATTTGGGGACACTGAGGGACATCCTGGGCACACCTGGGGACCCTGAGGACACGCTTGGGGACACCTGGGGACACCTGGTGACATTTGGGGACACTGAGGGACATCCTGGGCACACCTGGGGACCCCGAGGACATGCTTGGGGACATTTGGGGACGCTGGGGACACTGAGGGACATCCTGGGCGCACCTGGGGACCCTGAGGACACGCTTGGGGACACCTGGGGACACCTGGTGACATTTGGGGACACTGAGGGACATCCTGGGCGCACCTGGGGACCCTGAGGACACACTTGGGGACACCTGGGGACATTTGGGGACACTGAGGGACATCCTGGGTGCACCTGGGGACCCCGAGGACACGCTTGGGGACACCTGGGGACACCTGGTGACATTTGGGGACACTGAGGGACATCCTGGGTACACCTGGGGACCCTGAGGACACACTTGGTGACATTTGGGGACACCTGGGGACACCTGGGGACACTGGGGACACTGAGGGACATCCTGGGCACACCTGGGGACCCTGAGGTCACGCTTGGGGACATTTGGGGACACGGGGACACGGACCCGGGACAGGAAGTCCTGCTCCACGCGCTCCTTCAGCAGATCCGGCGGCTTCTGCTCGTACGACTTGAACGTCTCCAGGTAACGGCCGGCCTCCTCCGGGCTGGGGACATTGGGGACAGCGCTGGGGACAGCGGGGACAGCGCTGGGGACAGCGCTGGGGACAGCGGGGACAGCGGGGACAGCGCTGGGGACAGCAGGGACAGCGCTGGGGACATTGGGGACAGCGCTGGGGACATCACTGGGGACAGCGGGGACAGCGCTGGGGACAGCGCTGGGGACAGCACTGGGGACAGCGGGGACAGCACTGGGGACATTGGGGACAGCGGGGACAGCAGGGACAGCGCTGGGGACATCGGGGACAGCGCTGGGGACATTGGGGACAGCGGGGACAGCGGGGACAGCGCTGGGGACAGCGGGGACAGCGCTGGGGACAGCGGGGACAGCACTGGGGACATTGGGGACAGCGGGGACAGCGCTGGGGACAGCGGGGACAGCGGGGACAGCACTGGGGACAGCGGGGACAGCACTGGGGACATTGGGGACAGCGCTGGGGACAGCGGGGACAGCACTGGGGACATTGGGGACAGCGCTGGGGACAGCGGGGACAGCGGGGACAGCACTGGGGACAGCGGGGACAGCGGGGACAGCGCTGGGGACAGCGGGGACAGCACTGGGGACATTGGGGACAGCGCTGGGGACAGCGGGGACAGCGGGGACAGCGCTGGGGACATTGGGGACAGCGGGGACAGCGCTGGGGACAGCGGGGACAGCACTGGGGACATTGGGGACAGCGGGGACAGCGGGGACAGCGCTGGGGACATTGGGGACAGCGCTGGGGACATTGGGGACAGCGGGGACAGCAGGGACAGCGGGGACAGCGCTGGGGACATTGGAGACAGCGCTGGGGACAGCACTGGGGACATTGGGGACAGCGCTGGGGACAGCGGGGACAGCGGGGACAGCACTGGGGACATTGGGGACAGCGCTGGGGACAGCGGGGACAGCACTGGGGACAGCGGGGACAGCGGGGACAGCGCTGGGGACAGCGCTGGGGACAGCGGGGACAGCGCTGGGGACATTGGGGACAGCGGGGACAGCGCTGGGGACAGCAGGGACAGCAGGGACAGCGGGGACAGCGCTGGGGACAGCACTGGGGACAGCGGGGACAGCACTGGGGACAGCGCTGGGGACATTGGGGACATCGGGGACATTGGGGACATCGGGGCATTGGGGACATTGGGGACATTGGGGACATTGGGGGGATTGGGGACACTGGGGACATCATTGGGGACATTGGGGACATCGGGGGCATTGGGGACATTGGGGACATTGGGGGGATTGGGGACATCGGGGACATCGGGGGGATTGGGGACATTGGGGATTTTGGGACATTGGGGACATTGGGGGCATTGGGGACATTGTGGGGATTGGGGACATTGGGGATTTTGGGGACACTTGAGGACATTGGGGGGATATTGAGGATGTTGGGGACATTGGGGGGATTTGGGGACATTGGGGGCGTTGGGGACACTTGGGACATCAGTGTGGACATTGGGGGCATTGGGAACATTGGGGGGATTGGGGACATTTTAGGGACATTGGGGGACATTGGGGACATTGGGGGATATTTGGGGATGTTGGAGACATTGGGCGCATTGGGAGTGTTGGGGACATCAGGGACATTGGGGACATTTGGGGACATTGGGGACATTGGGGACATTTAAAGATGTTTGGGAACATTTCAGGAAGTTGGGGACATTTGGGGATATTGGGACATTGGGGACATTTTGGGTACATTTGGGTACATTTGGGTACATTTGGGGACATTCAGGGATATTGGGGACATTTGGGGACATTTGGGGACATTTGGGGACGTGGGACATTGGGGGGATTGGGGACATTTGGGATATTGGGGATGTTTTGTGACATTGGGGACACTTGGAGATGTTTGGGGACATTGGGGGATTTGAGGCATTGGGGGGATTGGGAACATTGGGGACATTGTGGGGACATTGTGGGGACATTCGGTGACATTCGGTGACACCGGGGACAGTACCTCCACGCCAGCAGCAGCGTGCAGTCCGTGAGCAGACAAACCTTGGCCAGGTCCTTGAGCGACTGCTGGGGGTCACGCTGGGGACAGAGAGGGGACAGAGGGGGGACAGAGAGGGGACAGTGAGGGGACAGAGGGGGGACAGTGAGGGGACAGTGAGGGGACAGTGAGGGGACAGTGAGGGGACAGTGAGGGGACACAGGGGACAGTGAGGGGACAGTGAGGGGACAGTGAGGGGACACAGAGGGGACACAGAGGGGACAGAGAGGGGACAGTGAGGGGACAGAGGGGGGACAGCGAGGGGACAGTGAGGGGACAGTGAGGGGACAGTGAGGGGACACAGGGGGGACAGAGGGGGGACAGTGAGGGGACAGTGAGGGGACAGTGAGGGGACAGTGAGGGGACACAGAGGGGACACAGGGGGGACAGTGAGGGGACAGTGAGGGGACAGTGAGGGGACACAGGGGACAGTGAGGGGACAGAGAGGGGACAGTGAGGGGACAGTGAGGGGACACAGGGGACAGTGAGGGGACAGAGGGGGGACAGCGAGGGGACAGAGAGGGGACAGAGGGGGGACAGTGAGGGGACAGTGAGGGGGGACACAGAGGGGACAGAGAGGGGGGACACAGAGGGGACAGTGAGGGGACAGTGAGGGGACAGTGAGGGGACAGTGAGGGGACACAGGGGGGACAGTGAGGGGGGACACAGAGGGGACAGTGAGGGGACAATGAGGGGACAGTGAGGGGACAGTGAGGGGACACAGGGGGGACAGTGAGGGGGGACACAGAGGGGACAGTGAGGGGACAGTGAGGGGACAGTGAGGGGACACAGGGGGGACAGAGAGGGGGGACACAGAGGGGACAGTGAGGGGACAATGAGGGGACAGTGAGGGGACAGTGAGGGGACACAGGGGACAGTGAGGGGACAGGTGAGATGGGGACAGGGGACACAGGGGACACAGAGGGGACACAGGGGGGACACAGGGGACACAGGGGACAGGTGAGATGAGGACACAGGGGACACAGAGGGGATGGACAGGTGAGGGGACACAGAGGGGACAGCGAGGGGACAGTGAGGGGACAGTGAGGGGGGACACAGGGGGGACACAGAGGGGACACAGAGGGGACAGTGAGGGAACAGTGAGGGGACAGAGAGGGGACACAGGGGGGTCAGGGACAGTCAGGGGACAGGGACAGGGGACAGGGACATGGGAGGGGCCACAGTGACACTGACCGTGACAATGACAGTAACAAGGTGACAATGACAATGACAACGTGACAGTGACAAGGTGACAATGACAATGACACAATGTGACAGTGCCACCTCACCACGTCCACCTGCAGCAGCAGCACCTGGAGGGGTGTATGGACACGGTGACAGTGACACAATAACAATGACAGTGACAATGACAATGACAAGGTGACAATGACAATGTGACAATGTGACAGTGACAATGACAATGTGACAATGACAGTGACAGTGCCACCTCACCACGTCCACCTGCAGCAGCAGCACCTGGAGGGGTGTAGGGACACAGTGACAGTGACACAATAACAATGACAGTGACAATGACAATGACAATGTGACAATGACAGTGACAATGTGACAATGTGACAATGTGACAATGTGACAATGACAGTGACAGTGCCACCTCACCACGTCCACCTGCAGCAGCAGCACCTGGAGGGGTGTAGGGACACAGTGACAGTGACACAATAACAATGACAGTGACAATGACAATGACAATGTGACAATGACAGTGACAATGTGACAATGTGACAATGACAATGTGACAATGACAGTGACAGTGCCACCTCACCACGTCCACCTGCAGCAGCAGCACCTGGAGGCCGAAGCTCCGCCCCAGCGCCCGCAGCCGCTCGTGGATGTACCCGGGGTGCAGGTGGTGATAGCGCAGGCTGGGGACACAGAGGGGGGACATCATGGGGACACCTGGGGACACCTGGGGACACAGCTGGGGACACCTGGGGACACCTGGGGACACCTGGGGACACACTTGGGGACACTGGGGGACACCTGGGGACACAGCTGGGATGTACCCGGGGTGCAGGTGGTGATAGCGCAGGCTGGGGACACAGGGGACAGTCAGGGGACACCTGGGGACACACCTGGGGACACACCTGGGGACACTGGGGGACACCTGGGGACACAGCTGGGATGTACCCGGGGTGCAGGTGGTGATAGCGCAGGCTGGGGACACAGGGGACAGTCAGGGGACACCTGGGGACACCTGGGGACACACTTGGGGATACACCTGGGGACACATGGGGACACCTGGGGACACCTGGGGACACTGGGGGACACCTGGGGACACCTGGGGACAGTCAGGGGACACCTGGGGACACACCTGGGGACACCTGGGGACACAGGGGACAGTCAGGGGACACCTGGGGACACCTGGGGACACCTGGGGACATTGAGGTATCCCTGGGGACAGCTGGGGACACAGGGGACAGTCAGGGGACACCTGGGGACACCTGGGGACACCTGGGGACATTGAGGTATCCCTGGGGACAGCTGGGGACACACCTGGGGAGAGCTGGGCACACCTGGGCACCCTTGGGCACACCTGGGGACCCTGAGGGGACACTTTGGGGACACCTGGGGACAGCTGGGGACACTTGAGGGGACATTTGGGGGCACTTGGAGACACCTGGGGACCCTTGGGGACATCAGAGGTGAGCTCAGGGACACCTTGGGGACACCTGGGCACACCTGGGGACCCTGAGGGCACACTTGGGGACACCTGGGCACCCTGTGGGGACACTTTGGGGACACCTGGGCACACCTGGGGACACTTTGGGGACACTTTGGGGACGCCGGTGGCCTGACCTGAGGAAGAGGGCGCAGCTGGAGGTGCCCAGGACGAAGTCGGGGCTGACGTCCCCGAACTCCCAGGGGACGTTTCGGATGAAGCGGAGCACGGGATTGCCGCGCTGGGGACGGGCGTGTCGCGACATGAGGCCCCGTATCGCGACAGGAGCCCCCGCGTGTCGCGATATGAGCTGCCATGTTGTGATAGGAGCCCCCACATATCGCGATATGAGCCCCCCCCCATGTCACGATATGAGCCCCCAGTGCCGTGATATGAGCCTCAGGGCAGACTCCCCACGTCGTGACATGAGCCCCCTGTGTCGTGATATGAGCCCAAACTCACGATATTGAGGACAGACCTCCCCATGTCATGACATGAGCCCCGAGACGCACTCCCCATGTCGCGACATGAGCCCCGGGACAAACCCCCACATGTCATGACATGAGCCCCAAATCAGGGGACAGACCCCCCCATATCGCAACATGAGCAGCAGGGGGACACACCCCCCACGTCGCGACATGAGCCCTGGGACAGACCCCCACATGTCACGACATGAGCCCCAACCCCAGGCACAGACCCTCCATGTCGCAACATGAGCCACCCGGACACACTCCCCCATGTCACGACATGAGCCCCCAACCCCAGGCACACACCCCCTATGTCGCGACATGAACCCAAAACCTGCGATATCGGGGTCAGGACACCCCCATGTCGCGATATGAGCCCAGCCCCACCGCATCAGGCACAACCCCGCCCATGTCGCGACATGGCCCCGCCCACCCGCCATGGACAGACCCCGCCCATGTCGCGACATGGCCCCGCCCACCTGCCGCGGGCTGACGATGATGCTGCTGCTCTTGGTGCCCGGTTTGATCGCGGGCAGGGCCGGAACCTCCCGGGGCTCGGCCCGGTCCCGGTCCCGGTCCCGGTCCCGGTTCTGATCCCGGTCCTGGTCTCGGTTCTGCTCCCGGTCCTGGTCCCGGGGCCGGTCCCGGTCCCGGTCCCGGTTCTGATCCCCGGGGGTCGGGAGGGGTCCCGGCGGTCCCGGGAGGGCTCCCGAGGGGGCGGCTCCGGTGGGTCCCGGATCCCGCTCCCGGTCCCGGTTCTGATCCCGGTTCTGATCCTGGTTCTCGTTCCGGTTCTGATCCCGCTCCCGGTTCTGACCCCGGTTCTGGTCCCGGTCCTTCCCGGTTCCCCCCGTGCCCCTCACCACGAACTCAGCGTAAGAACCGGGACCGGGCGGGATCGGAACCGGAATCGGACCAGGACCCGGCACCGGCACCGGGGAAGGCGCGGAGGAGGCTCTGAACAGCGACGGGACCTGGGGGGACACCGGGACAGCTCCGGTGACACCGGGGACACCCCCCCGGACCTTTCCCGGTCCCCCGTGATGTCCCCGGTCCCGTTCCCGTTCACCACCCCCGGTTCCGCCCCCGGTTCCCCGTTCGGTCCCCGGCCCCCTTCCCGGTCACCAACCCCGGTTCCCCGTTCCCGGTTCCCCGTGATGCCCCCATTCCCAGTCCCCGGTCCCCTCACCCGGTCCCGCCCCCTCCCCGGTCCCCCGTTCTCGGTCCCCGGTTCCGCTCCCGCCACCGCCGGTACCGGGGATTCTTCAGGGCCCTCCTGCCGAACCGTGAACCGCCGCCGCTTCCCCCCCGCTGCCGCTGCCGGTGCCGGTGCCGGGTCGGTGGCGGCTCCGGGATTCGGGTCCGGGTCCGGGTCCGGGTCCATGCCGGGGTTCGGGATCGGTTCGGGGGTCCCGGGTTCGGTTCCGGGGTCCCGGGTTCGGTTTTGGGGTTCCCAGTTCGGTGTTGGGATCCCGGTTCGGTTCCGGGGTTCCCGGGTTCGGTTTTGGGGTTCCGGAGCCGCCGCGCGCGCTCCGGTCCCGCGGAAGGGGCGTGCCGATGCCCTCCCTCACCATTGGACCCGCTGTGCTGTCAATCAAATCATGGAACCACGCCCCTTTCCCGCCATAGGAAGGGGCGGGACCTCCGTGCGTTGGTGGGCGTGGCTATGGCGGAAAGACCACGCCCCCATGAGTGACAGTGACAATCGGGGACACCGAGAGACCCCCGGGACCCCCCAAAATTAACGGGGACCCCTCCCCAAATTACCGGGGACCCTCCCAGGGTCAGAATCCAAGAGCGGGACCGGGATCGGCCCGGGAGGGACCAACGGGACCCCTCCCCGAATTACCGAGACCGCTCCCTGAATTAACGGGACACCCCGGGACCCCTCCCCAAATTAATGGGACCCCTCCTCGAATTACCGGGACCCCCGGGATCCCACCCCAAATTAACGGGACCCCTCCCCAAATTACCGAGACCCCTCCCCAAATTAACGGGACCCCCCCAAATTAACGGGAACTCTTCCCTGAATTAACGGACCACTGGGACCCCTCCCCAAATTACCGGGACCCCCGGGACCCCTCCCCAAATTATCGGGGACCCCCGGGACCCCTCCCCAAATTGGGGCTCCCTCTTCCCTGGAGCTGCTGCTCCGCCCCAGGCGACTTTGCCAAGCACAAAAAGGTGCGGAAATCCCAAAAATCGGGAAAATTCCCTCAAAAATTGGGAAAAATCCCCCCAAAAATCTGAAATCCCCCCAAAAACGGCTCAACCCCGAAGCGGGAGGGAAACCCCGCGATGAATAAAAAACCCGGAATGGTTTTTGGGTGAAATCAGCTCTTTATGGCTCCGTGGACACTTTTCCTACCACACCGGACAATGGATGGATGGAGCACGACGGGGACGCGACGACACCGGGAGCGACACCGGACACCGGCAGGGGGCGCCGGGGGGCGGGAGGGGACGAATCCCCCCCAAAATACCCCAAAAACCCCCCCAAAATCCGCCCAAAATCCCGAGTGGCCAATGGGAACTCGGGGGAGAGGAGAGGAGGGGACAGGGGGTGAGAAACCCCAAAATCCCCCCAAAATGGGGGGATTTTTTCCCGATTGGTCAATGGGAACCTGGGAGGGGACAGGAGGTGACAAATCCCCCCAAAAACCCCAAAAATCTCGATTGGCCTGGAAGGGGGAGAGGAGAGGGTGACACCCCCAAAAACCCCAAAAAACCCCCCAAAATCCCGACTGGCCAATGGGAATCCAGGAGGGGAGGGGACGGAGGAGACACCCCCTAAAAACCCCCCAAAATCCCAACTGGCCAATGGGAATCCAGGAGGAGAAGGGACAGGAGGTGACACGCCAAAAATCTCCAAAATCCCCCCAAAATCCCGATTGGCCAATGGGAACTCAGGGGGGGAGGGGGTTTTGGGGTTTTATAACCCAAAATAAGACCCCAACACCCCCCAAATGCCCCCAAAATCCCCCCAAAATCCCGATTGGCCAATGGGAACTCAGGAGGGGAGGGGACAGGAGGTGACACCCCCTAAAAAACCCCCCAAAATCCCCCAAAATCCCGATTGGCCAATGGCAACCTGGGAAGGGGGAGAGGAGAGGGTGACAACCCCCAAAAACCCCCCAAAACCCCAAAATCAACTGGCCAATGGGAACCCGGGAGGGGAGAGGTTTGGGTTTATAACCCAAAATAAGCCCCAAAAAACCCCAAATCCCCCAAAATCCCGACTGGCCAATGAGAATCCAGGAAGGGATGGGACAGGAGATGTCACCCCCCAAAACCCCCCCAAAACCCCCCAAAATCCCAACTGGCCAATGGGAATCCAGGAAGGGATGGACAGGAGGAGACACCCCCCAAAAACCCCAAAATCCCCCCAAATCCCCCCAAAATCCAACTGGCCAATGGGAGCCCAGGAGGGGAGGAGGTTTTGGGGTTTCATAACCCAAAATCCCCCCAAAAACCCCAAAATCCCCCCAAATCCCCCAAACCCCAGCTGGCCAATGGAACCCGGGAGGGGAGGAGGTTTTGGGTTTCACAACCCAAAATCCCCCCCAAAAACCCCAAAATCCCCCCAAAACCCCCCCAAAATCCAACTGGCCAATGGGAACCCGGGAGGGGAGGAGGTTTTGGGGTTTTCATAACCCAAAATGCCCCCAAAAACCCTAAAATCCCCCCCAAAACCCCCCCAAAATCCAACTGACCATGGGAACCCGGGAGGGGAGGAGGTTTTGGGGTTTCATAACCCAAAATGCCCCCAAAAACCCCAAAATCCCCCCCAAAACCCCCCAAAATCTAACTGGCCAATGGAACCCGGGAGGGGAGGAGGTTTTGGGTTTTCATAACCCAAAATCCCCCCAAAAACCCCCAAAATCCCCCCAAACCCCCCCCGAAAATCAACTGGCCAATGGGACCCGGGAGGGGAGGAGGGTTTGGGGTTTCATAACCCAAAATCCCCCCAAAAAACCCCAAAATCCCCCCAATCCCCCCAAACCCCAGCTGGCCAATGGGAACCCGGGAGGGGAGGAGGTTTTGGGGTTTCATAACCCAAAATGCCCCCAAAAACCCCAAAATCCCCCCCAAAAACCCCCCAAAATCCAACTGGCCAATGGGAACCCAGGAGGGGAGGAGGTTTTGGGGTTTCATAACCCAAAATCCCCCCAAAAACCCCCAAAATCCCCCCCAAAACCTCCCCCAAATCCCAATTGGGCCAATGGAACCCGGGAAGGGACAGGAGGTGTCACCCCCCAAAAAAACCCCAAAATCCCCCCCCAAACCGCAGCTGGCCAATGGGAGCCCGGGCCCCCGGCGTGGGGGGGGGGGGGGGGGGGGGAAGGTTCTGGAAGGTTCCGGGTGGGGGAGGGGCGCTCTCAGTCGTTCTTTTTGCCCCCCGGGGGGCTCTGGGGGGCCGGGGGGGCCTCCCCGGTGCCCCCGAACTCGTTGACGCGCGTGGGGTCCACGCGGTAAATCCAGCGCTGG